AGATGTTACTAGGGCGTCGCAAACTTCACACCCCTTCATTCGAAAGTTCTGTTGCGTTTGCCCACTTCCCCCTGCCCCCTGCCCCCCAACCCGGGTACGATTTCCGGGACCGCTTTGATTAATACTGCAGGTTATGTTCCATATTTCATTATGAAATTTACAGAGTCTATGACTTGATTGTGTTTAATCAGTTCGTACACAGAACAAAATTTTACTCTAACTGGAAAGAAATGAGCAAGGAACAATATTTGTACAATCGACTCGGAGGTCCTATGATCAAGCCTTGTTCGAAAATTCAATGAAATTTAGACCACAACGAAGAAGAGGATGAAAAAACCCGTAAGCATCCCATGACTCACACAGTTTTGCAAAACTATGCACGAGCATAAATACTCAGATCTACAGCTGTGTTTTCAAATATTTGCTGAGATAATAATTGGGCGCAGCAATACACCGCAAAAGAAGAACAATTCAAGTTAAAAGAAGATAGATTAAGGATGAGATACGAATTTTGGCAGTGTTCTGCCTCGGACCCTTTCGTGCAATAAAGATCAGAACGCAGACAAATACATATATAGGCAGAGATATGGATAATAATAACGAGAACAACATATTCCGCAAAAGACCGCAAAACGTGAAAAGAGACATCTTCAGATTGATCGGTTGTAGTTGACATGCACATGTAGGTCTTTTCATAAGGCTATTAAGTAATAGAAATTATATGCTTTGTACATAAGTGAGGGTTAGTCATATGCAAGATTCACCTCATAAGGATTATGCAATGTAGTTGTAAAGTTTAAGATCCTCAGCATCCCGCGTCAGATAATCTCTCTCAATCAAGGCTTCTATTCTCTTTTTGATCAGTTGAGGAGTTGGTACAAAGCGATGCTTGAGTTGTTGTGTTACCTACAAACTAGTAAAGATTTCGGTGTTGTCGGCTTTTACACCAATTACTCGCTCCCCTTATTGATGGTGGCTAACCTACCTCCGTAACGAGGTTGTTGTGACTGAGCAATTTTCTTGACTTCATAACTCTGACAATAGCTGCTTCGACTTCGTGTTTTCTGTCGTCTTCCACCTTTCGAAACGGAGTTAGATCACGCATTACGGCAAAAAAATGA